GCTTAGTTTGCTTCTTACCTTACAGAATATGGCATGCAACTTACTGATTATATAGAATTCTTTCAGTAAAATAAGTTCCCTTTCTTTTATATATTCATGACCCGAACATAGCAGCCAGCTTTTTAAAAACACACAAAAGTTTCTGTGAGAAAATAAAACATCATATAGAAGAAAGAACTTTTGAAACAGAAGGATGCAAGCATACATACACAATGCAACAGATAATGTCACACACACAGAGGTCTCTCCTTTTATTTTAAAGCCTACTGAGTCATGTAGACAAAAAAAATTATACAGAGGATCATTTGAGTATGTAGAAATACACACATAAATCCTTTTATTAAAAAGATAAGTAGTTCCCTTTTATGTATAAAGTTGTACACAACAGTATCTCTTCATTACATTGATTAAATCATGAAGAATTTAAAAAATAAAACAACTACTGTAACGGATGAAGAACTATACTAGTAATGATATAGGGGAACTCAGTGGGGGGGAGGAATCAGGGAGGGAATAAGGGAATCCCAGGGCCTATGGAATTACATCATAAAATGATAATAATAAAAAGAAGTTTAAAAAACTACTTTATGTGACTCTCTAACCCAAATTCTGTATGAAACAAAAAAAACTTTCAGCACAGGTATTTTTAAGAAAGGCTATTTTTTTCACAAGTTTTACATTGTTTCATGGTTTTCAAGTTAAAAATCATACAAATAATAAAATATTATCAATGAATGATTACAGAGGGTCATGAGGCATATTAGGTCAGCAACATTCCAAATATGTTTAGTACTTATCAAGTAAATATAATAAAATCTCAGTATACACAATGCACTATAATTCAAACTGACAGCTCTTACTTAGTTCTGGGACACTGAAGGAATAAATTGTGTAATTCTAGATAGCACTAAAGCAAGATTCAACCCTTTGCCTGTGTTCCAGAAACCCAGGAGGCTTGTCTGATGCTGACACAGCAAAATAATTCTGGCTCATTAACTGATTCCAGTTTTGATTCCCATCTTAGATATCAGGAGGCCAGTAATTAGCCAGAGATATTGTGAAGACCATTGGAAAACCTGTTTCTATCTCAGATCTATCTAATCATTTAAATCCCATAGGATCAGATCAAAGTATTTTGATGTACAAGAGAATTCAATATGACTCAGGCGATCAAAACAAAACATAAGCATCTACTTTTTGTCTTTTTAGCTGTGAGGTATATTTTGTCCCCTAACATTATGGCAAGTGAACACAACAACTAAGGAATTATTTCTATTTTGTATAAACAGAAGAACTGTCAAGTATTTTATTTATAGTTACATGAACAGGGGAACATAGGATAAGAAAACAAGATGGAAGTTTACTCCTCAATGTGTCCCCCAAATGTCACTGGATATTGTGCTGGACAGGGGACAGATCCACAGACTAGGAATTCAAACAAGAGCGAAACTTCTAACCCATGCAAAGAAAACTAAATTCACAATAAACCTGTGTGAGCTTTACATAAATTCCCCAGTTGGTATAGGAAATGTTCAAGAAGAAAAGACATTCAAAGAGAAAGACATGAAAAGCTCTTCTTACATTTTGGTGGTACTCATTAATTAAAGATTGGAAAGTTTGTTTAGAATGTGCCCATGAGAAGACAGCCAAGACAATAATAAATAGGGGGAAAAAATCTAGAATGGAGCATTAGCCATTAAAACAAAATAGTTTTATCTTATTTTTTTTTAAGTTTTAAATTCAATTAAACTTTTAAAAAAAAAGATTTACTTATTTTTATTAGAAAGGCACAATTACAGAGAGAAAAATAGAAAGGTCTTTCATCTGCTGTTTCACTCCCCAAACAGCTGCAATGTCCAGAGCTGAGCCAATCCAAAGCCAGGAGCCAGGAGCAAGAGCTTCCATCAGGTTTTGCGCATGGCTTCTCAGGCCCAAGGATTTAGGCCGCCCTCTACTGCTTTCCCAGGCCACAAGCAGGGAGCTGGATGGGAAGTGGAGCAGCCAGGATCTGAACCAGTGTTCATATGGAATGCTAGCATTAAAAGCTGAGGATTAGGCTGCTCAGCCACTGCCCTGGCCCCTGACTTTAATTCTTAGAATAAATAAGGATTCATTACTTGTATATCAACAATCCTATGACTTGAGGCTGGCCTGGCTCAGCCATTATAACCATTTGAAAAGTGAACTAGCTAATGGATGATCTCTCTCTCTCTCTCTCTCTCTCTCTCTCTCTGTAGCTTGGACTTTCAAATAAATAAATGCTTCTTTAGAAAAAGAAAAATTTTGTTACAGTAGATGTTTTGTAATAAATTTATTTGCAAAATCGTTTTCTTTCACTATTATCAGAACTCTCATTTTTGCAAAAATTTCCCAGATATTCATCAGTTTTCCTAAACTGCATCTTGATTCTCAAGAAGTTCAATAATTTTTCTTAGGATTTGCATCATTTTCACTTTGCAATTTTTTTAAAGATTTATTTGTTTTTATTGGAAAGGCAGATAAGATTTACAGAGAAGCAGACAGAGAGAAAGGTCTTCCATGCACCGGTTCATTTTCCAAATGGCCACAACAGCCAGAGCTGTCAATCTGAAGTGAGGAACCAGCAGCTTCTTCTGGATCTCCAAAACTGGGTACAATGTCCCAAAGCTTTGGTCCATCTTCTACAGTTTTCCCAGGTTGTCAGCAGAAAGCTGGAGGGGAAGTGGAGCAGCCAGGACACAAAGCAGCATGCATATGCAACCCGACGCTTGCAAGGTGAGGATTTAACCGTTGAGCACTGGCACCAGGCCTCACTTTGAAATTGATTTGCATCATTTTGAGTTGTCGTGGTGTGTGTGTGTAACATTCAATAATCAGGGAAACTGACGCAGAATTTGTATAATACGCAGGAGACATAATTTGTAAAATGGTTTGAAACTGGGTTACTTGGCAAGTTAATAACTTAGTGAATAATTTAATACTTGGCATGCTTTTATGTAATCATAATTAGGAGTCAGAGGTATTCAGACAAATAGCTCTGCTTGCACATCGTTATATGCAATAACTACACACTTAACTCCTCATAGAAACATAGTTAAACAGTTGAATAGATAAACATATCTGATACAAGAATTTCTCATGTGGGACCTTAGGAGACATTTGGAATTTTCCATACAATCTTCATGCAGTTCTACATTTTAAGAATGAAGGCCTGTGAGTTTCATAAAATTTTAGGAACCATGCCTTAAAACTGGAGAACCACTATCTAATTTTCAATCTACTTCAGTTAATCAGGGCATCGTGCGAGTTTTCACTCTGTCACTCATATCTGTTACCTGTTTTACAACTTCCTGGCATCCCTTGATCCAACGCAGCAACAAATATTAGGTCACTTGTTGTCACATCTTTTGTGTCCAGGATCTAATATAGGGCAACAAGTCCTTATGTCAATTATGAACAGTGACACCATTAGTACATGTCTTCTCAAAGTAAAGAGAAGTGAGGATGGAAATGTAAAGCAAACAGAAATAAGGCTCTAAGACCAGTGCTATGGCTGAGTGGGCTAAGCCATCGCCTGCCATGTCAGCATGCCATATGAGTGCCCATTCAAGTCTTAGCTGCACCACTCCCTACCCAGTTCCCTGCCAATGTCCTGGAACAACAGCAGAGGATGGACCAAGTACTTAGATACCTGCACCCACATGGGAGATCTGGATGAAACTCCTGGTCTCCTCTCTTAAGCCTGGTTCATCCCTGCCCATTGAGGCCATTTAGGGGGTGAACCAGTGGATAAAAGATTTCTCTCTCTGTCTCTCTCTCTCCCGCCCTCTCTCTCTCCTTCCCTCCTTCTCTCTCTGTCTTTCCCTCTCTGTAAATCTGCCTTTCAAATACATAAAATGAATCTTTAAAACAGAATAAAAGCCTATGATCTGAATGGTGGATTTTCCACTTATCCTAAAATATAATCCATCTCAAATATTTCCTTGTGCAATAGTAAACAAAATTGTCAACTCAAATAATGAAGAGAATTTTGAATAAAGTATATACTAATTTCCTCTTGAAAAATTTTTAGAAAGTATATTGATTTGCTCTCATTCACATCAAACATGTCATATGAACTCATGTATCTGGATTTAATAATTACTACTAGAAATGGATAATTATTTTTCCATGTAAATCAACATAAATTATTTTAATTTTCTAAAATCTGAGCTAGGGATATAAACAAAATTTGCAATAATCATTTATCAAAAGTATTTAATATTTCCCTAAAATTATCAGCATTAGCATTAAATGTAACGATGGTATATTTTTCAACTGAGAAATAACTGAAAGATCTTTCAAAGATTTGGCCCAGTTTAATGTTCATGAACAATTACTTGCCCAAATTAATAATATGTGTTCTGATCTCTAGCCTTCTGCCTTCCAATAAAACATTTCCTCTCTGCCCCATCATTTTAAGGATTACCCCAACCTGTTACCAATATTATTTTCTAGAACTGCTCAGCCATAATTTATCAAGCTGTTCAGTTAAATTTAATGAGTGTCCCTTCAAAATACCCCAAACTTATTATCATTTTTCAGACATCATGCCCTTAAATGTTTACTCTTTTACCCAATTAATTTCCCTAAGAGAGGAATTCCATTCTATTATTCCCATCGAACTCATCGCTCAGTTTTGTTTTTTTCCTAAGTTCCTTATTTACAGCGTGCAGTGAGGCTGTCCTTCCACATTTCTTCTCTTCTTTGTGGATTCTGTGATACTGTTGACCTCCCATGGGTAAGACTATGCCTTTACCATCCGTGCTGCATGTTTACAGAATCCACAGCTTCTCTACAGCCACTCCCAGGGCTCCACCAAGAGCAACATGCCCCCGTAACTGAATTAACACAACTAACCTTCACATGTAGAACTCCGAGGGACATATCATGGTAATATCTTTGTAATAAATGCTAACAATACCACCAGCGATTGTGCAGAACTCCAGGAAACTGTGGGAATACACAGGTAAAAGAGTTTCTATTTTACTAATCATTTTATTAGTTGATATTAGTATTTTGTCATTTTGGAGCAAAACTGCATCAATAGCTGATTATCCCACGTCAAATATGGAATGGGAAGCTTTTATATTTTGTTTACTGAAATGGATTATCTGACATGTCTTCTGATTGCTGAAAAATAGAAATAGAAAAAAGAATATATGCTGCCTACATTGTACACATATGTGGATGTGTGTTGTATGAACAGATAAATTTATATCCCATGTCATTGAGAAAGACATTTTAAATGTTTTTTGTTTGTTTTCTGAAAAGAGCATGTAGAATTGAATTGAATAGCAAAACTAGGATTTGATTCTGGTAAACAGCATGTTTTTATACAATTTTTCGTTTTTTACTGTGGAAAATTCTTATGTTTGCTATAGAATAGCAGGTGACAGATAACTTATTTGATAAGTATTTCTTTTATAAGCCTAGAATCTTAAACAACATGCTCAATAGACAATAGGACGAAGCAGTGACCACCACATATGTTGATCATGACTCACTAAAATTGATATTGTTAGAGTTGAATAAGAGAAGAAGGAAGTAAAATACTAAGTAAGGGATTGTTTGGCTTTAGCTGGTATAGTATTTATAGTCTGCAAATTCTTAGTTTTAACAGTGCATCACCAAGTTGTTGCCTATATAACATCAATAGAGGGTTATTCCTTACGCTGTACCTCCTGCCTGGTCACCATGACTTTTTCGTGAATTCTTCCTTTACTCCTCATCAGTCCAGTTTTCATGAACATTACAGTAATTTCAGAAAAACAAAGCCAAGGCAATACAAGACACACAGAATGAGATTGCACAGCACCAGCATAGATTGCGTCCCATTGATGGATTGGTCCCATTTATTTCTTATAACTCATCACCCTCTTCCGAGCTGAAGCTGCTTCTCCTGCTGCTCCCTTTGGAAACTGTAGGAGAAGTGACAGAGAACAGAGGATCTGCCCCAAGTGGAGATAATTTGGCATCCAGTAATGCATCGTCTAATCGCTGTTCCTCCTTCAAAGCAGCACTAAATGATAAGTCTGTGAAGTGTGACAAAGGATCAGAGAAGGCCATCGCTTGATCAGAAAGCTCAGAACTCAGCTCTTGAGGTAAAGTCAGTTGGTGGCAGTAGTCTACTGAGTACTGCTCAGGGTGGGTCTGTGGTTTGGTGATGGCAGCACCTGAATCAACCATGCCAAGCGAAGCCAGGGTTGGCAGACCATGAGCACGGGCCTGTATCTCTAGTTCCTGCAATGTCAAACAAGAAGTATGAAATAACATCTCAGAGCAGGGACTCAACTTTACAGCATAAACCAGAACTTGAACCAAAACAGGAAGCATTCAAATGAAGAGTAAGATAAATTATAAAAATTCTGCAAAAGATAAAATCTAGTGCATTTGAAGGCCTGAAAAATATATCTGAGAAAATTACTCCAGATTTTTTTCCATTCTCCTCTCATTGTTCTGTAAAGGAATTCATGGCACATGCCGGACCCACAGTGACTGACACCACACTGCAGCCGTTTGGAGATCATGGAAAATCTTCCATTCATTCTTCCCGATTAATTTCACATCATATTTTACATCCATTTCACTGGAGCAGAATAAATATTTTACCTAGCTATAAGCATTCTCACATTTAAAAATGAGTTATGGAAATTCATATAGTGGTGTTTTTGCCACATGAATAGTTGAGGAGAGATTTAATATAAACTGATATAATATTCCAGAAACAATAAAATCCATAGTAGTCTTACTAATAATGTTACTAAATAAAAGGGAGAGGAGAGAGTTTAGTCTTCATTATTGCCTAGAGAAGCAAATGTTCCACATAGTATTATTTGTTCCTGTGCTAACCCTGTGTGCATGAAATGAGTTTTACATTCTGCATTGTGCAATTGTTATTCATTTTATGTGCATGCATATTTTTGTAAGGTAATCTTGATCTTAGATTTCTAATCAAAATCTAATTGAAAAGAACAATTCGTGAACTTCTAAAACAGCAATGAAATTATCCTTCAGCAGAAAAAAAAGATTGTTAACAGCAACAACAAAAACGAATGAGACCAATGAATAAAACTGATGACATGCAAGTCATGGGCAAGCTACATGGTTCAGGGCAAGGTTCTTATGAAAACCTGTATCCGGAGCAGAAGTCGCCGGTTCGCCTGTTCTAACTTCTGCTGCCTGCGCTCTAACTCGCGGGCCCTCTGCTGTTCTTTCTGTAGCCACTTGATGTACTCCACTGATGCTTTCAGAATGGTGCCTTTGTTCCAACGCATATCACTACAGAACGGAAAGATAACCTTTTCACAATTGTGCGTGTCAGCAGAATTCCTAAGAACTTACAAAATCTTTTACATTAATATGAAATAATGATTTACATGACTATTATTCACTCTTAGATATTATTGCTTCTGAATAGAAATTTTAATAGAATAGTTAAGAAGCCCTTATATAGTAAAATTAATCCCAGAATGAAAATAAGTGTCAAAAGAAAGTAATAAAGTGACTTTTTGTGGGAGAGCTAAATGCAATATCATGATTCTACCATTACAGTTTTTATATTTTTAGTGAAAATTGCTTTTATTATTAACTTCAAGATTAAAATCTATGTGCAGTATTTCTGCATTAATGAACTAGGAAATGTACATTACGGAGGACTTAAGACTAAATTTTTTAAGATCATTTCAAATGTACCAATCTCTTAACACTCTTCCGAATGAGGTTGCTTCTAGGATTCTAAGGAAAACCGATGAAGTCTTTCTGAGATGGTGATCCTGAAGGACTGTGTGAAACACATCACGGCTTGGCGACAATACTTTCTGTAGCACAGCAAACGTTCTAAAGCCATCTGCTCAGTTATTTTTCTGCACAACCATCTTACATTCTTTGGTGTTTTTTTTTTTTAAAGCTGAATACAGATACCTACTTATAAACGCTTTTAAGGTGAGTAAAACTAAACATTGCTGGATAACTTTTTAGGAAAAACAACTCTAGTAAAATATCTTCATGTCAGCAGAAATTCTAAATAGGAACTGAATGCACAAGCTGCTGCTTTAAAGCCTGAAAACACGTATCAAGTAATGTAATCGTCTATGCGACGTGAAAACGTGTGTGGCAAAGGAGGGCGTGTTATTTGTGAGACACGATTCAGAAGTGCTGGAAAACCTCGATGCAGTGTCAATTCAGAGTCACGAAGTGTGTGCAATATCACCCAGGAACCTGGTCTACGTGTGCAGTATATCGTATGTACTTTTCTTCTGTGTGACCTGCGTGAACACATTGAAGCTGTACATGTTTACTGAGGACCAAAAGTGTGAGACTTCAGCTCTTGCGCGATCTGGCCTGCAGGTGCCCCAGCGGAAGTTTTCCTTAGTGATAATGCCATGAACAGGAACAATTTTTTTCCTCATCCCCAAGAGTATTTTCAATTTTTTAACAAACAAAAATTAATAACATTTGTTGACACTAGAAACAACCGTGAAAGAAATTACAAAACAATTATATTTAAAAGTTTATCAAAATAAATAGCTATAACATACTTAGGACTAAATCCAACTAAAAATGAAAACTTTGTACACAAAATACTATAAAATATGAAGTTATGTGACAACCTTTGTGTAATAAAAATTTGTTTAAAGTTTTTAAAAGTTTAATAAAAAATTAAAGACATATAGATAGGTTTTTAGATTGTCTTTCTGTGGAAAAATGTCATTGGCATCTTGAGAGAGATTGTATTTATCTTTACATCCCATTTGAACATAAAGATATTATTAAATAACATTTTATCAGTCCATAAACATAAACGGTATTTTCAATAAAATTTGTTTTAAAAAATTCCTCCAGCACATGAAAATGCTTGATAGAATATAATAATTCTTACACTGAAATGCATCAAACCACAGTCAGCATTTGTTTCACACTTGAAAATCTTTCAGCAGGACTGACTTTTGGCCTAGAAGTGAAGCTGCCGACTGAGATAACCATATCACAGCCTCTCCGTGTTCCTGCTGGGCCTCCTTTGGTCTCCAGTTTTCTGCTAATAAAGATCGAGGCGGGGGGGAGGGGAGAAGGCACTGAGGACTCGAGTAGTGGGGGTCCTAACACCTGGTGGAACGCCCAGATTAAGTTGCTGGTTCCTGCTACTGCTAATGCAAGCATTTGGAGAGTGAAGCAGCAGGTGCTAGCTCTCTCTCTCTCTTTCTCTCTCCTCAAATAATTTTGTAAAATCACAGAAAAAAGAAAAACCATTCAAGCAGTTTTCTAGGGCCATAATGCTCTTGTAGCATTTATCTGATAGTTGTTCTGATGGTGGAGAGGGTTTGAAAAGACATTACTTTTGTCCTCAAACCAAGTATCTGCAACAGAAATGTAATGGTCTTCTGAAATAAAACTCTAAGTGCTAGCAAAAGTATTATGGATCCTCAATTTTGTCTCATTTCTTCACTTGGAAATGAAACTTGAAGGACCATAACAAGATAATTTTGATGTTTAATGTGCTGTTTATTTAGATTTAAAATAAACCTTCACAATGTTGACAAGAGAATGCCCAATGAGCTTTCTTTCAATTTGTACCAGATGTCATTCATGCTGATTTTTTAAAGTTTTAATTGTTAGTTATTTTAGCACAAGAGATTTTTAAATTTTCTTATTTGTGGAAGGAATTTTGTCTCTCTCCCAGGATCATTTTATGCAGTTCAGAACTCAAAGTATCGTATGGCACCCTATAAACAATGAACATGAATAAAGGCAATGATAAAGAATGAATGCTGATACTGGCTTTTGATTTTCTGCAAAATACTTTTGTTGAAGGACTTTAGACATTTTGGAAGTTCAAACTTGGGATGAATTGGAGACCAAAGCAGATAACACAAATGTGTAAAACAGAAAAGAAGTACTAAAAGGTGAAAGCAGGGACAACACGCTAGCTGGCATTATTATAGCAGTGTCCAACACTTGGATTCTCCAATTTTTTTAATTATAAAAAAAATAAAGTCAGAAAACACCATGACATATCTGAGATTTTGGGGTTGAATCAAAACTTTGTGCCTCCTGATTTGGCGAGCTTTGTTGGATCTCGCTTACTGCCTCTGTTTCAGTCCTTGCTCAAAACCAGAAAGAAGGTCTCATTGAAGAAGGGGTAAGGAAAGATTCATTTAGTTTAAAAAAAAAACTGTGGGTTTTCCTCAAAAGTTTATAAAATTAAAAGACATTTTTACATAATATTCACCTGCCCTGGAGTTTTTGAAGAAGTGTGTGCATAGTCAATTTAAGTAGCGGCAAGACAAAGGTAGTCTAGTAGTGCCTTTGGGGTAATTCATGCTGTGATTTTAAACCCTCCATTTAGTGTTATTTTTATAAACATACATCAGAAAACACACATGGATGGGGCTCCCAAGCATGCTAACGAGATCTGTTACATGCACCGTAGAAAGTCCTCACATTTTGTGATTGCTGGTTAGCTCTATTTAGTTTTGTAGGGTTTGTTTAAGTTATCACTGTGATTTTAAAGAACTAGTCAAAGGAATGTCACTCTTGGTTATTTTCTTCATGTGATTTTTCAAACTATCACTCTCAAACTACAGCTTTTCCCTAGATCATTTTTCTACTTAGCTCCATTCACCCTTTTGAACTACAAAAGAATATAAATTTCTGAATCAATGTTTGACACATCAAAATGACGATTTCATAGAACTCAGTGTTGTCAGGTACGAGCTTTGATTGCTCAAGTCAACCCCAAATTTAATTTTAAACAGGAGCTGGAAAACTCCTGAGGACTAGTCACTCCTTCCATTCCATCCTGCTATTTGCCCGGGATCATGGGTGTTGAAGGAACGGGCTCCTGATCTCATCCAATCCGATGCTCCCTTGTGCAAATTTGGGTCTTCTTTGACTTTTCAAATGCATCTATCTACCTAGCAACTAAAGTCCTTGCCTTGCATGCAGCAGAATCCCATATGGACATCGGTTCGTGTCCCAGTGTTCCTGCTTCCCATCCAGCTCCCTGCCCAAAGCCTTGGAACCCTGCATCCATTCAGGAGACCTGGAAGAGGCTCTGGGCTCCTGGCTTCAGATCAGCTCGGCTCCAGCCATTGAGGCCACTTGCTGATAGCCTTGGAAAGTAGCGGAGGATGGACAGTGCTTTGGGACCCTGCACTCATGTGGGGGACTTGGATGAAGCCACTGGTTTCTGGCTTCAGATTGGCCCAGGTTTGACCTTACAGCCATTCCAGAAGTAAACCAGTTGATTTTTAAGATTTACTTATTTTTTTTTATTGCAAAGTCAGATATATAGAGAGGAGGAGAAAGAGAGAGAAAAATCTTCTGTCCATTGCTTTTTACTAGCAGCCACAATGACCGGTGCTGTGCCCATCCAAAGCCAGGAGCCCGGAGCCTCTTCCAGGTCTCCCACATGGATGCAGGGTCTAAAGGCCTTGGGCCATCCTCGACTGCTTTCCCAGGCCACAAGCAGGGAGCTGGATGGGAAGCAGGGCCACCAGGAAACAAACTGGCGCCCATATGGGATCCCAACACATTCAAGGATAGGACTTTAGCTGTTAGTCTACCGCACCGGACCCTAATTAGCTACTCTTTAAGATGCAGAGTACTTCTCAGGGCAAGTCCATGGTTAAGACGGTTCAGCCATGAGACTATCACTGCTAAACCCTCAAGAGGGACATGAGCAAAGCAGAAGAGGCGACAGCAAATCAAGGGCTAACCCATAATGAAACAGAATTAGCAGAGAGAGATTTGGAACGTAACACCTCAATTAAGTGTCTTTTCTGCCTGTGTCATCCAAACAAACCCACACTTGGATTCAACATGATTAATTAAAGTGTTTTTAATTAGATCTTCAATGCTGTTTCCCTACCGATGCCATACCTGCAATAAGTCATACAAGTCCTGTCCTTTCTGAACTCCACAAGCGCAAGGCTGTCGCTTAAGACTGACAGTGAGGTTTCTTCACTTTCAATCTGTTTCAAATATGACCCTTTCCTAAGTGAATTGTCCATATTCTAGGCAAGGGGCACACAACGCTCAGCCTGGGCATTTCTGTGAAAGCCTTTCGCTGGGTGCCCACATACACATTCATTTACACACCATCCACCTCTGCTTGCCTGCTGTAGTACGACAATTAAGACCCAAGGAAGAGATTATATGGCCCAGGATTGAAATATTGATAATTTGGCCCTTTACAGAAAAAGTTTGCCACATCCTCTTATAAGGAACATTAAACAAAGCTTCTGTAAAAACATAGCGTGACATTTGCAAAGTATTCCCATGAAACTGATTTGATTTTATTTTCATGAAAGCCTAAGCACAAAGGTTAAGAGGGTATCGGCTTTGGGTAACACCAGCAGGTGCTAGGAGGTCTGCCAAGCTTTGGAAAGCAACTGACAAGCCTAGGGCGACACAGGGCTCGTCTGCTTTACCCTGCCGCTTTGTGCTGTTCTAGGTACCTTCGCTAGCATGAGTGCTATAATACTTGAGCTGACAAGTGAATTAAAAATTTCAAACTAGAAAAAAAATTTTTTGCAAGTCTCATATACATCATCATTTCTATATAATGGGTAGTTTCCAGAATTAGGAGAAATCGGTTCAAATCATTATGCTACAGAGAATGCTTTTATGTGTTTGCAGAAACAGCCAATACTATAAATGGATTGAGTAACTGTTTTTGTAATTTACAATGTGTGATTCTGTGTTCACATCACATACTCATGAACACACACACAAAACAAGGTTGGCATCGAACAGTTTTACAGTTTGATTTTCTTAACTGGAGTGTAAAAATTTTGTACAGAATTTGGGAATCTGTGAAACTTTATTTTCATTTACACCCAAGTATTAAATCAGAAGAATTGCAGCAACTATAAATTGAGTGTATCTGCCAGTATCATAAATAGTATTTGTCACTATCACTAAATCTGACAGTGTTATCATTTCAGAAGACCACTATGAACTTAAAACACTTGTTCCTATAGCACAAATGGAAAACTCCCAGGAACAGTTTTGATGCAACATGATGATTAACCTGCAACAGCTATTTTAAACTGAGACCAGCAATAACTTTAACTTTGCCATTAACTACTTAGTTTCCCAGTCATTGGTTCTCTTCCCTCCCACCTGATTTTAGGATACAGAAAGCATAACATTATTATAGAAATGATTATTGAACTCACGGATCATTAGACTTCGGGATAAGAGTGCCAAGCTCCTTGATTCTGTAATTAATATTATACCTTCTTCTTCTTTCAACTAGTAAAGAAGAAATATCATTGATTAATCTCATTAAAATACAGTTTTGCTTTTGATCAACTGTATACTTTTTATTAGGTGAGCAAATATTTCAACTTAGTTAAAGATGGTACTTCTCTTTTATAAAATAAAAATTTCATAAACTAAGGAATTTTTGTTATTTGAAATGCTATAAAATTTACTCACACCTTTAAGAAGGACAGAATATACTTAACCACTTTTTTCTAGCGTAATTTATAACTTCTACATAAAAAAAGTTCCACTCTTTCGTACCCGTTCTTATAATCCTTAAAGATTTAAAACTTGTCATGCACTTGATATTTTTATATTTATTGGGCCTGATGCAGTAGCCTAACAACTAAAGTCCTCACCTTGCACACACCGGGTCCCCTATGGGTGCCAGTTTGTGTTCCGGCAGTCCCACTTCCCATCCAGCTTCCTGACTCTAGCCTGGGAAAGCAGTCAAGGACTGCCCAAAGCCTTATGACCCTGCAGCCATGTAAGAGACCCAGAAGAGATTCCTTGCTCCTGGCTTCAGATTGGCTCAGCTGCAGCCATTGTGTCCTTTTGGGAATAAATCAATGGACAGAAGATCTTCCTCTTCCTCTGTCTCTCCTAGTCTCTGTATATCTGATGTTCCAATAAAAAATAAAAATAAATATTTAAAAATATATATATTTTAGATTTATTATTACTAATTTCCTAAGTGCTAATTTCTTTAATAAGATTGATACTGTTAAATCACGCAGTTTTACCAATATGTACGATGATTTAGCAAATAACTCCAGATAAGGAAGCTCTTGAACATAGCTACACGCTCTCCACATTGACTGAATTCTTGCTACTCAACTGCTACTCTGGCCTACATTTCTCCATCTCCTTGATGCATTATCAACGAGTTACATCGCCCCTTTGAAAGGAGGGCAGGAGAGCCTTTTCTTTCCAGAGGTTGAATTTGACACTACTGCAGAAGGAGTGCCTTTCAGATAACATACCATTAGGAAGGGAGGTGCAGGTAGACATGAAAAATAGGACCCTGGAAATATGTTTTCTTGCAATGTAAATGTCTTATATTTTCTGAGGCCACTATTATTTCTTTGACCGTTTGAGTCAGGATTCAGCACACATTTCATGTGAAACCTGGCTTACTCACCTTCATCATTCTGAGCTCTTCTGAGGGTATACAAACAAGGCGAGAATGTGGTGTGCTGCATTTTGTGAGAATATGTGGGTACGTTTTCTGAGAGTTCACACCCAAATTGACTTAAATTGTGAAAATGTACTATTCAGTTTGGTCCTCTGACCTCAAATCATTTCTGTTTGGATAATAAAAGGCCATGCATTTACAAATATACATTTCCTCTTATGATTAATTTTACTTGAAAAAAGGGCAAAGTATACTCACTGAGGTTGTGGTTGTCCTTTTTTTGTCTCTCTTTTGCCAGTGCTTTACTGTCAGTCTCTGATGAAAAGAAAAATAATTGAAACAGTGTTTAGACCTTTCTTAAAACCCTTCCAAGGCAACCTAATTCGGAAACACCAGGTTAATAGGCAATGCAGTATGCACCTCCACTTTTAAATCAAAGATGAACTCCCAATGAAACTATTAAATACATAATTTGATAGTAGGATATTGGGATCTCTGCCAATGTCCACACCTACAATGTCAGGATACATGTAAATAGCAGAATAATGGATTTAGGACTATTTTTGAAGGACTATAATACAGGGATAATCAGTGGAAGTAAAGGAATTGGGAACGAGAAGGGAAATCCCAAAACCTATGGATGTGCATCATAAAATTAATTAATATAAAGAAGCCATTAAAATGCAATATTGGTTACCACAAAATTGTACAGTGATACGTTTAATGAAAATATTTAGAAATGCAAAAGAGATAATGTCTAGTTAAAAAAAAAACACTAGCAAAGGCTTTAGTCTGTAAGGCAACATCTCTGTATTCCATGCCTCCTTCTAATAGCAATGTGATGTGCTTATTGCATTTCAGACCCTTCACCTATAAAATGAACGTAACATCCTACCTGCCTGGTGATCACTGGGACAATTTAAAAGAAGTACAACACATAGAAAGTATCATGCTGACTCAGACTGATCAGATTCTTTGTGCTCTATGTGTTTGCAGTCAAGAGCTATCGACATGGCCCACAATGAGTCTCAGCTGGTGTTCACACCCTTAGCACATCCTTCCCACAAGGAATAGGGATGACCTGTGAAACCAGCAGAATGATGTGGAAATGATCAGCATGGCTTACAAAGCTGTACCAAAGAAGACACTTTCAGTTTCCACTTTGGTGTCCCTTGGATCTCCAGTTGGCACGTCATGAAGACACTTATGCAACCCAAGAGCTTCAGAACAGTCGGGACTATTTACAAGCCAGCAGCATAACTCACACAATCAGTGAGTGAACCAGCAGGAGTGCATTCTCCGGCCTCAGTCAAGGGTTAGATGTCCTCACTGCACCTTATAAGAGACCGATCCAGAATCAATTTGCTGGACCCCCAATGTTCAGTACAACAGACCATAAATGTGTGTTATTTCAAGCTACTCAGTTTTGTGGATAATTTGCTATTAAATAACAATAGATCGTTGATATAGTGGTCTTCTATTACAGCTTTGTTTATTTATTTATTCAAATATGTTATTAAATAGATTCTTTCTTTTAAGTTTAAATAATTTGAACGCAAACACTTATTGAGTTTCCTTAATTAAGCTCTATGAGTAGCCATATTATGCTTATTTTAAATGTTACTATACTGTATAAAATTAGTAAAGATTAGATTTCATAATCGACATGGAAGACTTGATACAGAAACTACAGTTCATTTTACTTTCTTATAAAATAACCAACAGGATCTGTTGATCAGGAAATTCTTGTGTTGATTCGCATGTGTCTTTCATCAAAAGTCTAATCTTGGGAAAATAACCCATCTGATCTCCAATTTGCCCATCTCCATGTCCCTGTGATAACATATGACAACTTTACATGAATTGGTGAAAACTGAGATTCTTTCCCAATTAAGGAAGCTGAACACAGGTGTTCCATGAATATCTAAAACAAGCTGTAATGAGACAGTTTAATTGGTTTTATACAAATTGATATATAGATTGATCTCCAGAATTTGTTACATCATTTTGCAACAATATGATCCATATCAGAGTGCAGGGTTCAGTTCACACTCACAGCACCTGAACTGAACTTCCTACCAATGAGAATCTTGGAGACAGTGGTGACGAAGTGAGGAGTTGGTTCATCCCATCCACGTGGGACACCTGTACTGCATTCCCACTTCCCAAGTCTGACCCTGGTTCAGTCCAAGTCAAGTGGACAATGGGCAATGAATTAGCAAATAGAGTTATCTCCTCTATATCTTTATCTCTTGAGTAAATAAAAATTGATGATGGGTTTGCTCTTCCTTTCCACTATTTTCATAGTGTTTTAAAAAATTCCACTTAACCTGATAACATATGTCCTTCATGTCTTGAATACAGTTCATAAAAATAAAAAGCATAAAACCGGAAAGCAACATTACCTGTAACCTCCCTTTTCATCGGTAGACTATTTGGACAGGAAGCACTTGTAAGCCCCATATTAACTGGTGAAGTTCCCTGCTCACCACAGTATACATCCAAAATATTTCCAGATAACTTTAGAGGAAAAAAGAACAAAACAGTCAAATAAACCTTTTTGTGCATGCTGACATATTTAGTTGACTGTTTTAAATTTTCCATTTAAGATTTGTCACTTTGCTAACAATTTGTGTCATATCACAGTTTAATTTTAAACAAGACATAAGCATGGATAGACTACTTGCTAATGCATTCTTAAATGCTTGTAGAGGATATGTTAGGGGGAGGCGAAGTCATCTGTTTTTAAGAAAAAGAAGCCAGTTCAGGCATGAATAAAAATTCTGATTGATATTTGCAAAGCTATAAAAATTTGAGGCAGCCTAAGACATGTTTTAAAATAAATACAATTAGAAACATCTCATTGGACAGAAATCAATACTTATCTCAGGAAAAATGGAAAGTTCATTGCATAGCACAAATTAGGTAAAATGGTCGAACATTTTGGGAACTTTCTTAATGCCATTAGTACTCCCGTCAACTCTCGGTCACAAGCTATATACACTGTTAATTAAATGAGAAACTCTCTATTTTCTGGAAGGCATACTTTTTTCTCACTATGCACTTAATGTTCTAGATTATTATAAATATCCCAGCTGGTAGCCAAAAGTAGTCTAAAGCTACTTTTGCCTCTAGTGAACCAGTAATATCCAATTACAACACCACTGTAACCCTTAAAGTATTTCTTGGGAACAATTTTTCCAGAAAAGCTAAGTTGCCTTATACAATTCAAAATTGCAACTATTCATCATTCAAAATATGCTTATTGATTTGATCTCCCAAGAATATTAAATTTAAATAATATTCATTTTTCAAAGTTAATATTCGTTCTTTCAGAACAAGCTGCATTGGCAATGCAGAGCTTAAAGTTTTAAAACTTTTCCCTTCCAAGTATTTTTATTCCATTTCTGGCAAGTTAAGCCAAGAGTAGAATAAGAAGCAACTTTTTTTCTTTCCTCAAGGATAAGGAACAATACATGTAATCAAACCAACTTATAACGAGATTATTATGGAAAATGTAACTCCACTTTCCCACTTTTTGCAAAGCTTCAATTCAACCTGAAAGAACTGTTGTAACACTTGGGAAAGTATTCTGGAAGTATTTAGACACAAAGAATATATTAGAACCAAAATCCATTTTTGAAATAATGTACTAAATGCTATATATTTCTAAGGAAAAAATTCTGAAAACATAATTGAAGTCCCCTACAGCACAAGTTTATGCACATGCAAACGAGACATTCTAGACCACAGTGCTCCCTGTTGTACTTTTTTTCAGACTTTTCTCATCATTAGTTCCAATAGGATGCCTCATGTTGATTTTATATAAATTCAGTGTTTTAAAATTTATTTTTACTTCATTAACCTTTATGAAAGGGAAGTACTTAAGCTAGTGTTTATCCCTGGTCAATTTCTTTATCTGCAAAGTAGGGCAAAGATGATACAGTAGAAGAATGCTGTATTCCAGTATAAAATAAATGCTACTTTTAAAAAGTTCCAAAAGGCAGATTTTTCCCTAACATTCACATCATTCATTTATATTTGTAAAAGTATAGATCTTCTGTTATCTTTCTGAAAAGCTTATTGGTTATGATTTGAGACACCATTAGCTAGAATTGTACATTTCCATAGCGCCTTGGAGAAACAAGACAGGTGGCACAGAAAGACCTGGAGCAACAGGGAAGGGACCAGGGACAGGCGCCTCTCCTGTGAAGGGCTTCAATTCAGGCTTTCAAGGCAGAAGTGGCAAATTGCAGAAATGTTCAAGAAAATGAGACATGTTACTTATATATACTGTAAAACAAAGTGAGAGATTCCTAACTATTACACTTTATTGGGTCCATGCCACCTGGCTAGATAGTACCCAGTGCATTATTCTTTAGGAATCTAGCTGGAATTCTGATAATGAAGCTAATCCTACTTAACTATAACTATATTACATCTTCTTCTGACCTTGGTTACTGTCTAATTTGTGCCCTAAAGCACAGTGATTAATATCCTATTTAATTTTATGCTGTAGGTACTACTCTATTTCATGTAAATGGCTAATCACTTTTTGAATACCATTAGACAATTGGGTTTCGATTTGAAAGAATGTAATACATTTCATGTACTCTAAAGTGCCTTTCTCCCTTAAAAGATGTATGAGTATAATGTTAGTAAAAATTTAAAGATTGCATACACATTTCAAAGAGCTTTGAAAGCAAATTTGTATCTACCTTTGTCAAAGCTATGTTACTTAGGAAATAATGTCTAAGTCTAAATTTCTAGGATAGTAGACAATTGGATAAATAGATATTTTGTGAACAAATATTTATTCTGGCTAAAGAATCACAGTGCTTTCTAGTAAAGCAAAACCTTTGCCATGACCCTGGATAAACAGCTAATAGCAAAAAAAAAAAAAGGAAGTGTTCTGAGAAGATGCTTTGAAGTGACAGGTAACTGGGAGTGGCTTTCCAGGATGTGAAGCTGTCTGCTCTGGACTTCATTCATGCCTCCAGGACTGAGATCACAGGGCTGGCAAGGACAGGATGTGATGGGGAGGCTCCCGTGTCTATGCTCTATGTGCAGCACAGCATTTCCTGAAGAAAATGAGCTCATGGGTCATGATTTCAAAACGTTTGAGGAAAACAGCTGTTTTAAAAATAAAACCACACGTATGATTATACATAACACCAACAGACAACTCAAAAAAACCAACAGATGAAACCAACTCTCTCAGATTAGTCAAAAAGAAGCCAGGAAAAATATTGGTAGTGATTTATATCATCAAAAATAATCACAAGTAAATGTAATAGTGATCAAAGCAGTGAAGCAGATATAGGAGGTATGAAAACATACTGCTTAAAAAATGGTATAGGAAAAGCAGCATAATGAAGGCAATAAGAAAGATACAAAATCATTAATAAAATATACTACCAAATTACTATAAATGAGCGTATAGAAGGAAAGAAAAAAGACCAAGAAATAGAAGATATGAAAGAAAACCTAATCACCATGGAAAATATAAATTAGTCTTACAGAGAGAAAAATGAAGTTGGAGAGAAGAAAATGTGAAAAATATATAATAGGAATACATTTCCAAGAGCTAAAACCAAATAAAATATTATTGTTTCTCTTTTGTTGTTATCATTATTTCATCTTACTTTAAAAAACTCAAAGTGCCTAAAGAAGGTCAAGGAAGAAATACAGGAAAAAATCCACTCGGAATTTTATAGGGAAATTGAAGAATATATAATAACAAAGAGGATGTAAAAAGCTATGTAAAGACAGGATTATGTACAGAGGAAAAATAGAAAACAATGAATCAGTGTTCTAAAAATGCAGACAGAAAAGTATGTGAACCAGTTTTATAACCAGCACAAATGGCATTCACAAATAGCGCAATGATAAAAAAACATTATTACAAATGCAATATTTAAGGAAATTCATCACCCAAAAGACCTACATTTTAAAACTTTTGGATAAAGTACCTGAATAGAATATTTAAAGGCTGTATTTCAAATGAATAGGAAGTGAAATTTAACAGATACCTGGAAAGAGTGATTGTGTAACAAAAAAGGAATGAGGGAACTGAAATCAAAAAGTGAAATACATAATCATGTCGCCTGGAGTTGCAGTGCACATAATATCAGCCTGATTGGACTAGAAAACTAAAAGTATGATGTGGAAAACGTTAAGCAAGTGTTAAGGATAAATACTAATAATAAAAAAATAAATTCAAATGAGAGACAGGTGAGAATATACCAATAATTATAGTCAACATAGATTAAATTATCCAGCTAAGTGTCAACAGATTAAGAATTATACACTTGCAAATAATTATAAATTTTGTGTTGTATATTTTATTGAAATAGGAAATATAAGATATGTACTACCTAAAATAATTTGGCAATGAATGTAAATGTTTGGAAAAATACAAACAGCTTTCAAAAGATATTAAATAGAGCTATCTGAAATAGTAGTTTATAGCCTGAAAAGTCTTAATTACTGAAGAAATCAAAACAAAACCTTAAACATATGTCAAAAGTAAACTCCCTGAACTACATAGTTTTATGAGGGAAAGTGTCATCATTTCAGGAAATATATCATGCAACATTTGTCAGAACGCTTCCAAATACTAACAGTAAAAGGAAATATGTGGCAATTCATCAAAACCAAAACTAAAGACTTTATGTTAGGCTTACATCTGACACAAATCCTAAGTTAAAAAAAAAAAAAGAATTAATTCTTCAAAATCACTTCCGGTTTCAAACAAGTGTTATTAGATTATATTAAAAGAGAAACGTGAGAAATCTATGATCATCTCAAAAACTTCAGAAAAACTACTTGATAAAATTAAATCTAAAAATAACAAAGCTCTTGGTTTTCTGGGAATAGAGGAGATCTTCCTTAACTCAATAAATAATATGTCTGAATCTTCACAACTAAAAATATCCTAACTGAAAAAAATGTTAAAATTGCTCCAATCGATATAATTTCCTTTGGCATTGAATTTTGTAGTATTTGAAAGTCTAGCCACAATAACAATATTTGAGAAAAGTGCTGTGTTCACAGTATAAAGGCCACCTCTTCATGGACAATACACTATCAAGGGAAGCATTTGGTACAAAATGTCACACATACCATGACATCAAAGTCAAAAGCAGTGATACCAAGAACAATTTTGCTGTGCTTCCCAGCCCATAAATCATGAGGGATTAGCAAACGAGGAAGTGAGGGGAAGGTCACTGCGGATGGTGATAACAGCTGTACAAGTTACAGTAAAACTGGATGACCGTGCAAATTTTTCAACAAAACCTGTTTAACCAGAGTCATTTGTTAGTTTAAATTAAACTGAATTTAACTGATATTTATATGAAAATGATTCTACTCAGAAAACATGTGTCTCACAGCCTTGCGCTTTGCTCTTTGGAGCAAGTAATAATTTGACATGTTTCTTATAAAAATTCTACCTGAAAACAAGTTTACTTCCAGGAAGTTTTCCTACCTATTCAGATGTAGATATTCTGGTTTTATTTACTGTTAACCTTCTAGTCTGAGTGACTTATTTAAAAGATGCTGAATTCATTATGTGAAATGACTTGTGCTCCTCTACCTGATTCCACACAAAATTGCAAAGCAGAATTTAGCACATATCTACATCTTTGGTTTAAAATCTATTTTTAAAATTTCATTATATATTAAAAAAAAAACAAGAAGAACCAAAGAGAAAAAAATATTTTATCTGCTGGCTCAATCCCCAAATATTTTTAATAGCCCAGAGTGAATCATATCAAAGCCAGGATCCAGCAAATCCATCAGGTTGGTCTTCCAAAAGGATGGCAAGCAACCATGTGCCTGTTGCCTCTATGGGTGTGTGTTAGCAGGAAGCTGGAAGTCCAAGTGCAGCCGAGACTTCAAAAGCTTCATCTGGGTCTCCCACGTGGGTTCAAGGGCCTACGGACTTGGATCGTCTTTGTTTTTCCCAGCCCATTTGTAGGTAGCTGCACCAGAAGTGGAGCAACCAGAACTCAATTTGGTGTCCACAGGAGATGGCAGCATTGCAGGTGGAAGGATAACCATGAAGCCACAGCATCAATATCCTGGCTGAAATTCTTGAGGATCATGGTTAAATTAAACAATTCTTACTGATAGTACAAGCAGTAATGTGAACTTTGTCCCACATTTAAAGTGCTCTTTTTAAAAATGCGTGTTGTTCATGTGCCCAGATTACAATTAAGTCAGTCAGGAAGAACTGTAAAACTTCCATTTCAATAGGATGCCTTGGAAGTATATGTTAGGGAAGATTGCAACTTCTCATAATTCTACATACTTAAAATAGGTATCAACCTATAAGAAAATAAAATCTATGCCCAAAATTATTGTCAAAATATCTAATACGCTGTGAAAAACATGCATACATCTTCTATTCTCAGTGGGCCAAATATAGTTAAAGACAGCCTAAGCAATCTGATGTAAGCTTTCCATGATGTTTCCTGCTGCTTTATAGCTTCATCTCTCATCATAGGCGACACCTGACGTGTCACCCAGCTACAATTCCCCCCACCCCTCTTTTCTTAAAGATGTATTTATTGATTTGAAAGTCAGCGTTACCGAGAAAGAGGTGGAGAGAGATTCCCCTTTTATTGATTTGCTTCCAAGCAGTCACAACAGGAGCTCTGAGCCAGACCAAAGCCAGGAGCTTCCTTTGAGTCTCCCAGGTGAGTGGAAGGGCCAGCATTTCGGGCCATCTTCTGCTGCTTTCTCAGGCTATCAGCACGATTGGAAGTGGAGAGACCTTAGGGATGCCAGCCTCACACACAGCAGCTTTATCCAGTATCCCAAAATGCTGGCCCAGTTTTCTTTCTTTCTTTTTTTAAAATCATTTTTGAGTTTAAATGATTTCATCTTGTCTCATTTCTAAATATCCTCAGGGCCAGTGACTAACTTATAGCCCTCCTTCTGCTATCTCTTCATCACTCTTAACAAGTTCCCAGCTGTTCCTCCTCAGCCAACACATACATATTTTAACTACAGTTTCTCTCTGATTCCCTACCCCAGCTCAAAAAACCTAAAATCAAAGCATATTCCCATGTAACTCACAGGTAAATATTAAGTCCAAACTCCAGTGGCTGATTTTCAAAACCTCTTCATACGGCCCTCTTGATCCATTTAACTGGCTGTCTCATCAATCTTGAGCTATGAATAGTTTCCTATCACCACATACATAATTTGCACTATTCCCATGTCTTCCTCTCAACTGATCTCAGACGACAGTGGGAGCGTGAGTGTGGGAGAAACTATTCCTGACAGGAATCCATCAATGGGAAATTTTTAACTATAATAAGCTATAAACATTGTCATAGCATGTATTTCCTGGGTAGCTGAGTATCTGTTGTACACTAGGCTTTAAACCAAAGATATTTCATAATAAAATATAATTAAAGCTTTTTAATAAAACATAATTAAATGATTTATTATGAAATACTCAACTTCTCTTAGAACAACTCTGTAAGTTTCATATTTGTTATTTTAAAGATTAAGTGATTAGAACCCAAAGAAATAAATGAACTTTCTCCAAATCAAATGGTTTATAAATAGAAAAGGGTCTGGTATGGCAGCCTAGTGGCTAAATCCTTGCCTTGCTTCTTTCTGGGATCCCAAATGGGCTCCAGTTCGCATCCCGGCTGCTCCACTTCCCTTCCAGCTCCCTGCTTGTGGCCTGACAAGGCAGTTGAAGATGGCCCAAGGCCTGGGGACAATGCACCTGCATGGGAGACCTGGAAGAAACTCCTGGCTCCTGGTTTTAGATTGGCTCAGCTCTGGCTGAACCAGTGGGCAGAAGCTCTTCCCCTCTGTCTCTCCTCCTCTCTGTATATCTGACTTTCCTACAATAAGGAAAAAGTGAATACAAGACCGGGACTGAAAGAGAAACAGATTCTTTACTACCTACTCAGATGTGGAAAAACCCTTGCTTTTAATACTTTTAATTTAATGTACTTTGAAAACCCAGAAGTCACTGGACTTGAAGTCACTGAACTATATTTTTCTCAATTTCACTCTTTCCTTTTGATACTTTATGCAACCCAAATGCATAAGGACAAACTGTTTCCGTAATTATCAAATTGAAATTATTCTCTAAATCTCAATGTACTAAACTCTCAACTAAACCTTCCTTGCATCAACCTGCATTATCTTTCTGTTTATCAAAATGCTATAGAAATAATGCACTAAGCAGTAACTTTCTTTCTTAATTTAATTAGATTTATTGTTTTATTACTTTACTCAGAAGGAGACAGTAGCATCCTATGCATTCACTATGTTCCCGAAAATGAATTACTCATGAAACCCTGAAAATTTTCCAAAATGTATGTAAAAAATCTCCAATTACATTATAATACAGAAAAGGAAAGAAATCTTAGATATAATCACCTATTTCCAAATAATTAGTCAGTACAAGGTATCAAAAGAAAATTATAAAAAACTAATACTTTGTGCAACAAATAATACATTTACTGTGAATTTCAAGAGAAACAGAGGAAACTTTTTTCAATTATCTGGATCCTCTATTTTGACTTTCTGTGAAGAAATTACTGTGATTCTAAAATCGAAATGTAAGCAAAAGACTTAGAATGAAGGCAGACATGAAAGGCAGACAAACTTCAGGTATAAAGAGAAGCTCTGTAGGGGAGGAGATGCTATTCAATGTACGCACAGTTGAAAAACTGGCATTTTGAAAGATTATTTTCTTTCCTTTTGGCTGTTTATTCATTTAGATGCAAGCAACCAGATTTTTCCGGTTTTAGGGCACAGACCATTGAATTTCTTCTAACTTTATTTGCTAAAGCAGAGCCACGGGATTTGACTGGCAAACACTGAGCAGAGAATCCTGCTGTGTTATTCTTGTTATTATTATTATTGTTCTGAGTGAATAAAAATAATGTGTTGGGTGGAGTGGGCGAGCCCTTGTCCTTGGCGAGCTGGCTTATCACAGACAGAAAAGAGAAAACACAAAGCAGAGAATGACACTCCACAAATACTTTTGCAAAATACAATTCATATGCACATGTGATCTCTTTAGTACAAAATGTATAAAAATAGTTTTAAAATGTCTAAAAATGTATAAAAACTTAGTATGAACAGTGTAGCAACTAGGGGAAACATCAACTTTTTGATTAAAAAAATCACAACAAAACATTAGTTTAACATTCATTAACTAAATAGACTATCACTGGTTTCTTACTCTAGCCCAGAACAGTAAAAAAAAAAAAAAAATACATCTTACAAGTTAAAAAAAAAGACCTCCTAAGTAAGTGAATTTGTCAGTAAAGTATTCTCTACACATTTCAAAGCTGAATTTCTACGTACCTTATTTTATTGCCTATAAGTCATAAAGTTTAAATTCAGTATGTAAGGCGATTTCATCTCCACACATTGAAACAATTCCAAAATGCAGTTGCTCACCAGTTTTAACTTCGAAGGGTCTATAACTTGCACAATAGCAATGGTTTTCTCTTTCTCCTTCATCATTTTCTGTCCTTTCAACTTGCAAACAATCCTGGGAGACGTGTCTAGGAACTTCTGCTCTCAGGTGAACTTTGGTTCTTCCTTGGACTTTCAGACTAATCTGGTCTAGATTGTGACGGACAAAAGCTTGCTCGTGGATGTCAGGCAGTCCTTTTAAGTTCCAACCAAGCATGAGAGTTGTTAATATTTACTCAGGCCTCATCCCTGCGATGGTCTTGAACTATAACAGTTTACTTAGATTGCCAAATGCCACCAGCATTTACAGACATCTGATTGAAAAATACCCATGTACGTTAAAAGAAATGGGTTACTATGCACAATCCCATCTCTGAGAGGAAGGGATGAAACTGACATCAATGGGTGAACTGATAGAGGCAGATCTAAACTCAGGGCTGAACAATCACTCCACGGGAGTCAGGCCAAGGATCACCACAGTCTCCGGTCCCTTCAAGTCCCAGATTCTACAGTTCTCTGCCTCTCCAGTCTACTGACACAATGGAGAGGGTGGGATTGTTGCCTTGGGTTTCATTCAGTGCAGCATTCAAGTCCCAACTCTATTGTTCCCTGTTATCGAACTTTTCTCCTTGCCTCATTCCTCATTTGTAAAGTGATAATAATAAACTCAGTCTTATAGATTGGCTGCAAGATAAAATGTAGTTTCTTCACAAAATCGTTATTCAAAATCTATATCATATAGTAATTGAGCAAAGTGTTTCAACTATTATGGTCACTAGCATTTCCTTGTTGTTGCTGCATTTTTCCCAAGAAAATTATCACAGGGTCAGGGGCCAATGCAATCGCATCGCAGGTAAGGCCTCCACTTTCAGTGTAAGCATCCCTGGTTGGAGTTTCAGTTGTTTCACTTCAGCTCCCTGCTTAACAGTCTGGGAAAGCAGCATTGGATGGCACAAAGCGTGATACTCCTGCACCTACATGGCAGACTTAGAAAAAGCTTCTGTCTCCTGCCCTTTCAACAATCCAGGCCTGGCCACTGTGACCACTGGAGAGTGAAGCATCAGATGGATGATATTTCTCTGTCTCTCCTTCCATCTCTCTGTAACTTTGCATTTGAAATCTATCAAAAATTATTTTAAAGTGCCCATAGTTGAAATTATGATACAAGTGAATATTTGTGGGTGAATTTCAGAGTAACTTATTTAATATGCATTTTCTGAGCACCTGTCTTGGCACAGGATCCGTGATGGATACTAGGAATCAAGAAGTATACAGGCTTCAGTCTAGGCTTCAGAAAGACAGCGATGTTAGAAACAGAGAGACTACAGTCTTAAGATGAGTGTACATAACACATGGATAAATAAAATGGCAAATTAGAAAAATTGTGTTAGTCCATTCATCAGCATGAGAAAAGATAGGAATGAAGATTTGCCATGCTGAATCCTGGCTAGGGTAGTTATGGAAGGCTTCTCTGAGAAGATGATATTGACTGAAAATCTGAAACCTGAAGAGGCAGCCATATGAAGATTTGACATAGAAGTATTTTAAGCAGCCATCAAAAAATGAGGTTCAAAGGTTTGAAGATGATGCTTTAATTTCCGTGTTCAGGGAGCAGAACTATGGCTGCAGGGTCTAGATCAAAGGGGGAAATGCTGATCACATCTGGATTTTATCCCATGCATTTTATAAAATTAACAGGTCGGGAAAAACAGGAGCTGATCATTGCTTTAGGAAGAGCCAGTGTGAGGGAGCAAGAACTTGTAAGGAAGCTATGTCAGATCTTGTGGGTTTTGTACAGGTTGGAGATGTCTTGCCCTGAGTAAGCGTTTTCTGGGAGAACGTGTTAATAAGAGGGATTCTGCAAGACTTGGAAGCTTCTCAGAGGACTCTGTTACATATATGGGTGTGGGAATCAAAGGCACAATAAAAGTAAAAGATTCCAGATCAACGCAAAGCAGATTTTGGTGGCAAAGCAAATGTTTCTGTCCAGGCACGTTAAGCTTGAGATGTCTGTCTGAAGCTCGCAGGACACCAAGCAAGCCGTAGGTTATGAGTCTGACACACGAGGGAAATGTCCAGACTGGAGAAGAATTGAGACAACTTGTAGAGGGTGTTTAGAAATATGAGAATATGGCCAAGAACTGAGCCTTGGGAAAAATGTACACAGACTTCAGATGTCAGAGGAGAAAGAATACCCAGAGAATAAGGTGGCACCTATTCCATCAAGACTAACTTACATTTAACAGAAACTTCCTCTTCTGGTTAAAGAGTAGTGTTTAAAAAAAGAGAGAGAGAGAGAGAGAGAGAGAAGCAAGAGCTGGGCTGTTCGTTTATGCACAGCTTGGAATAGGCTGAGAGGATTAGCCCAGCAACTGAGAATAAATCCAGCCCAGAAATGCAGGAAGGCCTACATGCAGCATTACTTAGGGATTTTCAGATGACTTGGATCAATAAATCCCTTTGATGCTCAAGCTTTATATATTAAGTTGCACCATATTCCACCAAAGGTTCAGTGGCTAATATATGCACAAAAAACATTCTCTAAATCTAACAAGTCTTTATTTTACCTACATGAACCAGTAAAGTCCCTCAAATATTCCTACCTCTAAACTGTTAGCTGTCTTGCACAAGCCTTGTTCTCTCTCCATTTCACTCCCCCTCTTTCTCTTTGTATTTTCATTTCTGCTTCTTGCCTTATCTTTTTCTGTTACTACTTTTCTGCTTTCATATCTGTCTTAAAATCTTAGTTTTATTTTCTGTGTCTTAAAAATCACCTCTTTCTTTTTGGCTATTGTTTATTTTTACTAATTCTAGTTTTTCTGTATCTATAGGGGCTTGTCAAACTTTATTCTAAATTTTTGTCAAGGAAAGTATTAAAAGGAGACACTACTATACTTTTTGGTTTGTTTTTTTCTGTTTCTGTTTTTGTTTCTATCAGAAGGAAGATATACAGAAAGAAAGAGATACATAGAGAAAGATCTTCCCTCCACAAGTTCACTTTGCAAGTGGCTGCATCAGCCAAAGCTGGGCCCATCTGGAGCTATGAGACAATAACTTCTTCCAGGTTTTCCACAAAGGTGTAGGGGTCCAAGGCCATCCTTGACTGCTTTCTCAGGCCATAGGCAGGGAGCTGGATGGGAAGTGGAGCAGCTTGGATACAAACTGGCTCCCATATGGGATCCCAATGGATGCAAGGCAAGGATTTAGCCACTAGACCATTGCAACACTGCTACAGTTTCAATGGTTTGTGACTATTTTAAGATGCACTGTCTATTAATCAAAAGTATCATTTCACCAATAGAAGAGAATCTTTTTCTACAGCATTTACCCTAATACTCACATCTGTCTGTTTTTCTTCATTCAATTTCCAAAGCAAACCTCTGGCTAACATCAAAATATGCATATGTAATTCAGTAATAGATAAATTAACTGCACCAGAAATCAGTATTCTTATGATACAGAAATAAATGTCAAAGCACAGGTTGAACTGATTTGTGTAATGTCTGATTTATACCTGGAGTATAAGACCAGGATCCACAGTCTCTCCTGATGCATCTGCGACACGTTCGGTGTGAGGTGTCATTGAAGTGTCACCTCTTGACAAAAGAATTGTGTCTCACTCATCCAAGTTTCAGAAATAGTGCAAGTAGAGTTTATGCTTTTTGAACAATAAACACTCAACAAATACCTGATCAATTGAACTATGCAGTTTTGCTAAAACCAGTGATTATCACTGACTGATCGACACCAGGTAGTCCTTTACATAAATACAGAATGGTCAGCAGAATTCATCTTTCTAAAAGTATGTTCTGTGTAACAAAAGTAAATTCTCAAAGTTGCCATCACTAAGTTTTTTCCTGAGTAAGCCATGGTACTTTCTCTAGAAAGCAAGTAAACGTATTCCACAAGGAATGTTCCAATGTGTAATTTCAGTGAAATAAGTATAGCATACAGGAAGAGAAGACTGCAGGAGATTAACATCACTTCCTCAAATCCAGATGTTGAGCACTAGTTAAGGGAAGAATACCCTCACACTGTAGAATTAGACAGGGAGAAATCAGCATTAATAACCTGCTCATTGAGAGAATTGATCCGTTTTTTTATGTATCTGTGCTACTTGAAATCGCAAAAGAGAAAAGACTTATCAATCCACTCTGAGAAAAACAGAAAAGCCTATAACAAACTCCAGATTTTAAACCTTATCTGGACATTACTCGGTAATGTTTAGTGACATTGTACATGGAGGCTTTGCTGCCAAGGTAAAGGAGAGATACTTCTCTCATCAGAAACTCTGTTTGAAAAAGTGCAGATAAAAGAAGGATGTTTTCACCAATTGTTTCTTCACCCAGCCCAACACAGATTATAGGCACAGTACCACGCATAGAGTAACAGTTCAATTACAATTCTTCAGTCTGTTTTTCTTGTCTTTTCCAGAAGACCCTGAACCATACACAAACTGATACTCTTCAAAATGCACGGAAACTGCTTACACATCCTTACAGATAAGATTTTTGCATGATCAGTAAAAGAGCAATGAGAAGGCAACAATAATGAAACACCAGATAAGCTACGCCCCTTCCTTGAATATCATTCCAGGAATCTACTGATTTCAACACAGTAGTCTTTCCATAAGCTATAAAGCTGGCTCAGGCTCATTTTGCCTTGTCTTACTTCACCGCTAAGCTCTGGTTACTAACTCGGAAATAAATTTGTGCTTTTCATTATTGTTGCATGTTTCTTTTTCCAACAAAAATGTAAAGACTCAGAACCCTACAGCACTGTTATGACAAAATGCTCAAAATTGTAGTTCTGGCCTTATAAAAGTTCTTGATTACATGCTGCACCTCTGACAAAAAAATTTCAAGAAAGAAGAACTCACAGAAAATTATGCAGCAGATTAAGTATATATGTAAAACTATTTAATGTAGTATATACTCATATTTTACATAATGCATATTATATCATATATAATATATCACATAATATGCAAACATACATACACATAAGCACCTTAGGTTTAGAAAGACGGATACATAGTCAAAGACAGAGAATACTGCTATACTAGACTCTATAATCTTCCTCAGTCATAGTAGATTATCTCTCTTCTGTGCCAATAAATCTTTTTCAATATTCATCTATAAGCTCATGTTTATTGGAAAGCATCACTTGCTAACCAAATGAAATTTCTTTTCTGTTATTGGGGCAATTTTATTCCTCTCTCATTGGTCTCCTTGGGATCTGGAAACATGGACTGATTGCTCTTTGTATTAGTACAGAGTCTGTCCTTTCCTCTTTGGAATCTGATTCCGTATCGATTATATCCTCAATAATATCCTCCAGCTAGCAAAACATAGTGAATTTAGAATGCTGAACATTATGGTAAAATTGGTGCTTCAGTCTGAAAGAGAAACTATAGTAGTCTTTAGGTTTTTAAACAATGTTGAGGTTATATGTGTAGCGAACCCCAGAATATTTTAAAACTGAAAATGAATTGATTCTGACACACTTGGTTACTTCGCCTTGTATTTGTTCCAAGGGCTGAATAGGGCCAGCTGAGTACGGTACCCTTGGCTTGGGAATTAATATCTGCATCTGTAGAAGGACCAGCAGGAAGTACCTCAAGCCACAGCTGATGCGTTCCCACAACTTCATGCTCCTTTTCAAACTTTTGATGGCATCTGACAAGCAGGCAGATACCTAAACATCAATAGCAAAATTTCCTCTGCCTAGTCCACAGAATGTGCATCAAATGGAAGAGTATTATTCCACGTCATTGCACCTTCTCACGTGACTGGCAACAAAAACCACAACAGTATTCACAGACACCTTAAGCAGTAACAACGACAAGCATACTCCTAGCGCACAGACGTGAAAGGCATTGCTCCAAAAGTCAAAACAACCCTGCGATGCCGGTGCCTTGTTAGCTTCCACTTTACACATGAGGAACTG